TAGCATACTGTCTTGTCTTGCAGGTTCCTCAATCCTCGCACTTCCTATTTTCAGCCATTTCAATGTTTTCAAATTCGTTATCATTATCTTGGTATATGGAAAAGGATCCTTTCATGAAAATCGAAAAAATAAGAACGTTAAATTGAACACAAATGAAAAATACAATGAGGTGGTGGCTGTAACAAAAATCAGGCACATTTACAGAGTCACCAAGCAATATGATGACCAAATCATATCTCCAGTTGTCTTTCTTGGTGAGAGTGTTGTTTGTTTACTGTGACGAACACGATGACAGGCTTGAAGATATCGGAGATCTACTAGAATGGATGAAAAATCAATGCCAGACTGAAAAAAATATTGGAGATGATGACGATAACGGTCTTGAAGAACTACTAGAATCGTAAATGTTTGTCGAATGTCATGATGAAAAAATGCCATCAGAGAGAGAAGAACTAATGTATGAGTGATTGAAATTCGAGATGAAGTGTATGTAAATAAGAAGATTATTTTATTGTTATATTGTAATGGATAACGTGGTCAGTATAAAGTATTCAAATTCAATCGTACATGATTTTTTTCAAAGTAAAACATGCATGACTAACATTAACATACATATTATTATATTATGACATAAATTCGATAAGAATTTGATAATTCACCTTTTTTACTGAAAAAATTGCAATAATCACATTTTTCTGATGGAATTCTCTTCAAATTCTTTCTTTGAAAAATGAACTACTTTTGCATGTGTTTTGCAACCTCTATGTTTTATGAAATTGAAAATGGTTTCGTCTAGCAATGTAACATAGAATTAATTTCACATTTTTCAAATGATTTAAGTGAAAATTTTCATAAACGAAAAAAAAAGGATTTGAGTTTTTTCGTTTTTACCACTTTCTAAGAAGATTTGCAAGAGATAATATTTCTTCAATATGTCTTTCAGTCCATCAATGAGTGTATTTCAACAAAAAATAAGCAGCCGATTCACAAAAAGAAACATTTTTTGACGTGAAAATTTTAGATTAAAAATTGGGGTGCTTTTCCGATATTGCAAAAAAAAAATTATTTTTCGAGTGCGAAAAGTACATTGTGTTTTGGACATGAAAAGATATGTTTGGTAAAAAAAAATTGTAGGAGATAAAAATAAAAAACCAAAAATTCAGCTATTTGAATTTTTCCGCGTAATATTTGAGATTATGTGAAAAAAGTGTGGCTATAACAATTGTAGATTTTTCCAATACCTACAACTTCACTTGTAGCTTTGTCGGAAATTCCGATACACCTTTTTTCACCCTTAAAAACTCACCCCCTTCCAGTTCCTGGTCCCGGATCGCCCGTGAATTATTTTCCCTTCAATTTTCGTCATATTTTCTTTCTTTTCCAATGTGTTTCATACTACTACTATTATTTTTTGTTCAAGAAATTATCGGCACTGGACTAAGAGTGAGTTTCACACGATGTACGAAGTATCTAATTACCTTCAATTTGTTGTAGAACATGAACAGAAGCGACATATTTTCGGAACCAACCTAGCATGTTTCAAGAATTTTTATCTATTTTAGATACACGCGTTTCTGGGGAAATGACTAATAACGCTAATTACTCAAGTTGAGTCTCATGAATATTTACAACAGCACTTATCGTATATCTTGAGGGAATATGCTTTATTGATGTCAGTGTTGCTATTCGTTATTTCGATAATTCATTAGATTTTAATGGGTGTTTCACTATCTACATTAAAATATCGTATAGGCTAGTGAGACGATTAATTTCATGTAATGTGACTACTCAAAAATGATGAATTTCATTGACCTTCTTGTACAGGATGGATGAATATAACACGTTCGTATCACGGTGTTGAAATTCAATAGCTAACTACATTTCGGAGTCTGAATCTTCAGTTCAATGATCTCCAGAATTGATACAAGGTACAAAAACTATTACTCATGAAATTCAAAGAGAGCAGCAGTTTTCTATCAGATGAATGGATGACAAAATACATATTTCGAAATATAATCTCAAAATATTCATTTCCCCCAATCAGCCTCACTGGTAATTGAGAATACCTTCTGAAAAAACAATAATACTCGAATATCTTTTACGAAACATTGGCTCTTGTAGGCTATAGATGAAATAATTGTACTATTCTTATGTTTGTATCGATATCCACCTCATCTCCCCTCTTTATTAGAATAAAATGTTGTACCCACCATCACAATCACAATTACAATTGAGGGCGTTTGTTTTTTCTTTTCGTTTTTCATCTTTTCCATCTTTTCTTCCTTATTTTTATGTTCCATATTTTATCTTGGTATTTCTCCTGTCAATAAATTCACATCATCATTATCATTATTATCATTGAATGCCAGCTGGAAAGTAATAACTTCTCCAGCTACTATTTCCATATACATATGGTGTGTTATGCCGATGATACTAATGTATTAGTAGCCCAGAACGAAAATTGTAGCCGAAAATACATGTAGTTGGTTGGAGATTAGNTTACAAAATAAAATTTCATAAAAAAAATGTTTTCCTACGTAAGCCTACTGTTCTGTGTTAGCCCATTTGTTATATATTTTTTTCCGAATCAAAAAACGGGACGCATGAATTATGTTGAGAAATATATCCAGAATTTTTTGTTCGAATATCGCTTCATCTGTTCATTTTCGAAGTAACAATCACGGGGGTGTTCTCTGGGTGAGTGATCTTGTTTGAGAAGATGAAACATTTATCAAATCGCGTACACACTGATTTAGTCGTAGCCAGTCGACTGTCAAAGCATTGATAAGACTGTTCTGTTGACGTCCAATCTCAGCTCTCTTATTTCGCGTAAAATTCTGAAGGTGATTTCCAAACTTTCGAATTGAGCCAAGGGAAGAGATTAATTGAAAAGTCACCCCCAATGATTCATCACATGTAGGTGCTTGATGAAGTGCGTGTTAGTTTCGTAATATTTGCAATTCTACAGTTTGTACAAAGTGCCTTGAATAAAATTGAAATATGTGGTATCTCAGTCTTATCTTTTGAATATATTTATTTTATGAATCACTAAGTGTGTCTGGTAATTCCTGACAAAAGTTACTGTCTGTTTCAAAGATGAATAGGATCATTTTAGGATGACACAAAAAATATTTGAAATTATTCAAATATTGTTTGTTTCAGAATGTCTTCTTGACATTTCTACAGAAAGCAAGATCAGTAAACAATACTAATATTCGAAAAAGCGTTTAAACTGCTGAAAAATCCAAATCAAATTTCGGCAATAGCATCCTCTAAGATTTTCACTATAGTAAGTTCGCAAAACCACAACATGAGTTTCGTTATACCGTTACTTGTTGAAAATTTAAAAAAACACCCATTTTAATGAGTGAGCAATAAATAGATATGTTCGCCAGCACCATAGGTTCACTGAAAGATCAAACTTTCTCTTGAAGATGATCATTTCGTGATTGAAACACGTGTCGAAGTGTTGAAAATAACGGTTTGGTGTCGGAATAAAATTTCAGTATTATTCAGCATCATCTAAAAAAATTCTCGTGATAAATAACATGGAAAACTACACCAAATTCTCATCAGTACACTCTGGAGAAATCTTGATGAAAATCTCTAAACAAACCAATTTACTGATAGTGATGCTTTATTCTCAAGAAATATTACATGTTTATGATAGAGAATTATACATGTTAACTCCAACTGGAATTTCAGAAACTATCTGGATTATAATGTTCCCAAGCTTCTTCCACGATCTTTGTTGCAGCGACTTCTTGCAATCATAATATATTTCGAGGTCTTCATACAGTGAATATATATGGGTTCTGCTTCAAAAGTTATTGATTTTTTGCAATGAAACTGCAGATGTCAAACTGACAATTATATGCTAAAATACATCACTGCTATCATCACAGAAACTTCCTGTTTTGCTATCCCTAAAGAACGCGCTTCTTCTTCTATTATCAGTTGATGATAGTTTCTGGTATAAATTTTACACTGAGTTGTTTCTTGAATTAGGGTAGACCTGGTCATTGGTTAGTTCTTGTAGTTTTTTGGAATGAATAGATTCGATATAATATCTAACTTGTAACTGTTGTTAACGAAACCCAGCTCTCTCTGAAAATTACTTTCTGACAAGGAAATATCCAATAGTTTGTAAAGCATACTATTATGTTCATTATTATTTCTCATTCTTTTACCTTCCTTTCAGTGGTAAATTTTATTGTCAGGTGAATGGAATTCACATATTCGGCGAACTTATCTAGTTGCCTAGCTGTACCAGTTGAACGGACTGAAATATCATCTACGTTTCTGTACCAGTTCAAGAAACTGTTAGTTAGCTAATTATTATGGATTTCATTCTTTAGATTATCCATGAAAATTTCAGCCAGCAAACAACTGGTTATCCATTATTAGTCCTTCGCTGCATGAATAAAACTCTTCGTCGAACTGGATAGAATTTTCAGATAGACAAATAGTAAGTAAATCTAAAATTTTCTTTTTTTTAATGCCTAGTATTTACCTAGGTACAAGTAAAGGTTTCTCATTCAGTAGATAGAGATGTTCGGTATGATACTCTAACTCCAATTGATATGAGTGTGAAGCAATTGAGAACAAAGAAGTCCTGATGATATTTTTATTTTCATTTCAAACACGATTTGGCGTAAATAATTCTGGACTTAGCGGTCAGGTTATATTTTCGGTAGGTAAAAGTCTCACATCAATGTTTGTTGATGAGATCACACCTCGTAGATAATCGATTTCCTCTGGATGAATATCCCAGCTACTCAGTTGCCCCATCATTCTCAAATTCGGGCAGTGTCCTATTAGGAGTTCCACCGCGATAATTGTCAAGGATTTTGCATAGGAAAACAGTATCACTTCCAGGTTACTGAACTCACACTCCGCACAAAGCCTGAATATATCACCATCCGTCATATTTATGAGACAGCCAATGACAATTCGTTTTAAAAACGGCGAATTCCTCAAAACGAATTTGGTAACTTCATCTGACATATCACAATATAACAGCTCTACATTCTGTAAGCCCATGAAATAAGTCTCTGAGTTTGTGAAAGTTAATTTCATCTGGAAACACTCCAGTGTTGTGAGATTTGGAGCATGCAGACAAATTTCAGACAGATCTAGTGGAGTGTTTTTATTGTGATTCAATTTGAGCACTTGAAGTTGAGCTCCCGACACTCTGAGGAACGTTAATAATTCCGGTACGTTACATTTAGTGAGTTTCAGACTATTGAGTTTCCTGAGTTTGACTAATTTTTCAACTACACCTGGTTCGGGACTGTCTAAATATAGATTTTCCAAGTTGGGACACAACTGGGAAATTGCTTCTATTATTTCTACTGTCGTTGATGTGTCCCGCAAATATTTGAGTTTTGTTTTGAAGCAGGGAAATTCATTGTTAATTGTCAACAAAGCATTACCAGTATACGAGTAGGTACGTAAAGCTGATAGGTTTGGTAAATTCATTATGACTTCAGCTATCAAATCAAAGCCACTCGATTCTTCACTACATAAACACACTTTTCCGAAGTTTCCTACATCCAATACTCGTAGTGTTTCACTCCTGAGTTTTTTCATACCGCTGACTGAATAACACGCTTCCCCGCAAATGTCCAACACAGATATTTTTCTCAGAGTCACTATCGCATCTATCACTTCATCGTTAGCCATATGCGGAATCAGCAAACTTTCCAAATTTCCCAAACGCCTAATCAGAACACTCAGTTTTCCGGGGAAATCTTGTAGCCAAACTCCTTTCAAGTTCAGATGTTTCAAATTCTTTCCTTGTGCTATGATAATATCCAGAATTTTCTCGTAGTAAAACTGTGGAAACATTCCGGTCTCAAGTTTTTCCACATCTTCCCTGAGGAGAAGTTTTAGCGAACTCAAGCGTATGCTTGCATCGAGATTCACAGAATTCAAAATAATTTTCATCAAGTCCTGTAAAACTTCATAAGTCGCCTCGGCTAAATATTTGGAAACCACTTCGTAATACTTTCCATCATCATCAGATAAAGCGTGAATGAGTTGGTTGGAGATTAGTTTGAGACACAAATAACTGAGAGATGGAACAGGATTTCTGGGTGCCATCGTATTTAGAACGGACACATCTATGAGAGTCGACAATGAAGGAATTACTGATCACAGAAATTACATATCAGCATTTTGGCTCAGTTCCAGAACGTTATTGAGATCCAAAAATAGTTAGCATCTGTTTGGGAGGCCGAAATCAGGTGGTTGTTTTGCTTTTGAAGCACTATAAATAATTTCAACAGTGTTATACTACATTATCAATAATCGAGTCACGGAAAACACTAGTTGGATCCACGAAATATTATACTGGATTACCAAACGCATCACCAACTGGTCAGTATGAAGTCCCTGGAAAAATAATGAAAACGTTCTCAACTTGGATGAAAAAATTGATGGGGATGACCTCGTTAATTTCTACATATGCATAATGAAACGATCGTTGATCAATTCCATCACAGATTATGGTATACAGGGTGCCAAGTTAGAAACTCCCTAGCTTCACTTCTTTATTTCCGGAAAATCAATGAAAAATTGAAAATGCGTCAATAGAACCCAACTCACAGAAAATATTCGTAGTCGCATGTTTTGAAAATAAAAGTTTCTGAGATATTGTTGAATCCAAAATTATTGTGAGTAAGAAAGGCTTTAGCTTTCTAGTTCTCCATCTTCATATAAGCATTCAATTTCAACATGAACTGACAAAAACTGACCTTTGAAATAACAAAGGAATAAGAGTGGAATAAATAATGAAGGAAATTAACAAAATGAATCAGGAACTGATTTTCAGCATAGAGGAAGAAAACCACTCATAAAATGGCTGCCTATAACGCGTTTATAGACAGAATGCTAAGGATGCCACTTAGCAATGAATCCTGGAACAAGGAAAGGAAAATGATATACCAAATAGCAAACGAGAATGGATAAACTCAAAAGACAATAGATAAATTAGAAAATGGAATCAAACAAAAAATTCAGAAATAGGATCAAACCACTCCAGCATTTACGTACGTAGGTCAACAAAACAAAAAATTAACAAACATCTTCAAAAGCTTGAACATCAACACCACTCACAAGACCAACAGGAAAATGAGACAAAAAAATAAACAACTATGAAAAAGAAGAAGACAAAAATGGATTGTACAGCATACAATGCTCGGACTGCAACAAATTCTATATCGACCAAACCAAAAAAAACGGATTCAAAGGTACGACGAGCACAAAAAGTATACATAAACCCAATAACATATTATTCAAACCTCGAAAGACACGCCATACTAAACAAACATAACTTTTCCCCACCACAAAACATCAAACTTATAGAACAAGTCAATAAAGGAAACCGTATAGACATCTGGGAAAACCTAAACATCCATAAATTCAAAAGTCATGATTACCTTTTCGAAGAACAAATACAAATTGAAACACAGCATAACATTCCATAAACTACAAATACAATATACATTCCTGGAAACAATGAAAGATGAGTAGAAGTTATTAAGTGGTATTGAGAGTTCATATCCTGGACTCGAAAGTCACTCATGTAGCTGTAGCTGCCTTCGTGGTAATGTTAAGATATCCTAGGAGTTCTAGGTCTCATAACTGAAATCACAAATGTGCGGTAGGCTCCTGTTGTTGACTCCGTTCGTTTGTGCTGTCTTTCTGCTTTCGGCAACCAAGTGTTGCCCATCTTTGCACTTGGCTACACCGCGGTGATAAGGCCAATATCCAGAAACACGTGTCCGTGGTTTGCCATCAATTTTTCTTGAGTGCTGTTCCAACTAATCTGCCTCTTCTGAAATGAATTACAGACACTCAATGGCATCCCTTTATTATATTCATATCCTGGATTCGGAAGTCATACAGGTAGCTGTAGCTGCCTCCGTGGTAATGTTGACATATCCTAGGAATTCTAGGTTTCCTAATTATAATCACAAATGTGCGGTAGGCTCCTGTTGTCGACTCCGTTCGTTTGTGCTGTCTTCCTGTTTTCGGCAACCAAGTGTTGCCCATCTTTGCACTTGGCTACACCGCGGTGATAAGTCCAATATCCAGAAACACGTGTCTGTGGTTTGCCATCAATTTTTCTTGAGTGCGGTTCGAACAAATCTTCTCCTTCTGAATTCATTTATAGACACTCAGTAACACCTCTTTTTTATATCCTTTTCCTGAATTCGGAAGTCACGCAGGTAGCTGTAGCTGCCTCCGTGGTTTTGTTAAGATATCTGGTTAGATGGATGGAACATGGCTCCATCCATCTAACCAGAATCAAGAGAGTGCTCGTTGGAATGAAATGTTGCGCCAATGAAGAGGTAATCGTCAAAACTGAGGTCTATTTTGCTAAAAACAAATCGTACATTAAAAATGGCATCAGAAAATTATATGACTGTTTCACGCATTGTGTCGCAGCAAAGGCAAAAATAATGTTTTCTATGATGGCCTACAAATTTTTCAGCCCAACTTTTTTATATGCCTTTCACAATTATCATTTCAATCATTATTTTCCATTTGATGCCACAAATACTATGAATATTTTTGAATGAATATTTATATTTCACTTTTCTTTTCTTGTGTATGTATTTATTTGCTTTTCAAGGGGACTGTGTAAGAATTGCAGAGTCTAAAGGTTCTCTTTTTGTTTACCTTCATTAGATATCTTTGTATTGGAAAGTTCTTCGTATTATTCCATACATTGGAAAACAATAAATGTATTATTATTTAAAATGATAGTTCAACAACTTCTGACAACAATTTCTCACAATATTCGCAAAGACAAATGAATTGTGCACTGATACGGTATTATACCCGAGTTTATATCCCTGATTCTCTTTACTACACCTTTTTTTTGCCAATCTTTGCTGGGACCCCGTCAGTTGAAAGCGACAGCATTTTATCGTAACTAATGTTAAATTTAGTGATAAACTCATCGATGACCTTGAATAAATCTTCTCCTTGAGTGATACCTTTAAACGGCAATATTGCTAGCAACTCTTCTCTAAAAATCTGACACTAAATATCAAGAAATCTTATGAAAATAGACATTTCCTCATCGTCAAAAATGTCACATGATTCGTCAAGTGCTATGACGTAGCAAAAGTTCAAGAAGAGTGACTTCAATATCAGCAGCTAAAGTTTCCCTTTCCGTGTATTACGAAACATGTTTCAGATGCTTTAGATCAAAAGCAACAAGTTGACGTAGTTTATACGGACATGCAAAAGGCGTTTGACCAAATTTATTTTCACATCCTCATTCAGCGACTCTCATCGTTTGGCTTTTCTGGAAGTTTAATTGTATTGTTTTGCTATTTCCTGCATTGTACGTTTTTCATTTGTGAACCTATCATGTGTCAAATGTCAAAAGACGATGCACCAAAAAATTCAACTCAGCACGTTTGTGCTGTCCACAGTGATGTGAACTGTCAGGAATATACATGTACGTGCTTGTTTCTTTTCTAAATATATCGTATTCTAACCATCCATATTGGCTCATCATTACCAAAATGTCAAGAAATGGTAGTTGTCCCTTATTTTCTATCTCATACGTGAATTTTATTGATGGACATCTATTATTTAAAAAGGAAACAAAGTCCTCAATATTCGATACTTTGGTATCAAATATATCATCCACATACCTTAGCCAAATCCTAGGAAAATACTTCGACTTTTCTTTGGTTTCCATTTCGAATCTGCTCATGAACAGGTCTGTCAGGTAGGGGGACAAGGGATTTTCCATGGCCGTTCCTTCCTGTTGTTCATAAATGCAACCACCTACCTGGAACCGATTTTGTTTCATACATAAATTAGTAAGAGAAACGAATTCATCAATTTCGTTATCATTGAAATTATTTTTCTCTAGTAATTCCCTGAGGTATTGCAAGGTCTGTGGAACTGGGACGCTAGGAAATTAGGAACTAACATCAAAAGAAACCAAAATCTCACCTTCTTGCAGAATCTTTTTTTTTTATGTTGTATGGACTCTAAAGAGTTTTTTATACTAAAACTGGTTCCGCTATAGACAAGGTTTCAAATTCCTCAGTGAGCCACTTTGCTATTTGGTAGGTAGGAGCACCAATAGCTGACACGATGGGGCGCATTGATGTTCCCGGTTTGTGGATTTTTGGAAGGTAATATAGTTTCGATACCGTTGGGTTGGAAACTTGTGACTTCCGTTTCAGTTGAGAGATAAGTATGTTGTCGCATTTCTTGAGGACGTCTTTTACTTCGGTAACGGGTTCCTGGACAATTTCGCATACGGTCCTTTAGTAATGAGAGCTATAAAATTTAAACAATACATATGGACATATTGTAAAATGATAGATAAAGCTAATTGTTAAATTAATTAAGGGTGGTATACCTGTAGTGTGGTATTCCTGTATGATTTATCTGTGTGATATACCTATATAGCATAAATAGCTTTAGTTTCGCGAAGTTTCCAGTTTTTTCTTCCTCTTGAAAATGATCACTTGGCAGGTGTCGAGGTGTTAAAAATAACGAAATGGTGTTGAGAAAAAACTCCAGTAATAGGCAACTTGAAATGAAATAAGTACAAACTAAGTGGAATTCTATGTAGCTTAAAAATATCACTTTCATTGATGAAGGTATTGTATACCTTATTTACGTATCAATGTATACTTGGTATATAACAGTATTTGGCTATCCGAGGTTCGACTTTTCGCGGTCCGCAAACGAACCGCGGTCCACCTGTTGCCGATCGTTGCCTTATAATATAGTAACATTAATATCACTTACAGTTTTTTTCCAATACTAAACCGTTATTTTAACACCTCGACACGTGTTTCGATCACCAAGTGATCATCTTCAAGAGGAAGATCAAACATCAGTTAGCTCTTCTCATCAATGCAAGAGTCCATGAAAACCAAGACAAAAAACGCCAAGTTAAATCAAATGACAAGGTTCTGCTCATTGTTTTTTTTTCCAATTACCATGGCGTAGTGCATTAGAATTTCTTGCCACATGGTCGTACGCTCAATAAGGAGTATTATCTTGAAGTTTTGCGCCGCTTGCAAGAAACAATACGAAGAAAATTTCCGGTATTGTGGAAGAACAATTCAAGGCTTTCGCGTCACGATTATGCACTTGCTCACTCGTTAT